CAGTTGTCCCTGTCACCTCAGCTGATAGTCCAGTTGACCTTGTCACACCAACTGACTGTCTAGTTGTCCCTGTCACCCTAGCTGATAATCCAGTTGTCCCTGTCACCTCAGCTGATAGTCCAGTTTTCCCTGTCACCACAGCTGACAGTCCACTTGTCCCTGTCAGTCCAGCTGATAGTCCAGTTTTCCCTGTCACTCCAGCTGATGATCTAGCTGTCCCTGTCACCCCAACAGATTGTCCAGTTGTCCCTGTCACTTCAACTGACTGTCCAGTTGTCCCTGTCACCCCAGCTGATAGTCCAGTTGACCCTGTCACACCAGCTGACTGTCCAGTTGTCCCTGTCATTCCAGCTGACAGTCTTGTTGTCCCTGTCACTCCAGCTGATGATACAATTGTGCCTGTCACCCCAGTTGATAGTCCAATTTTCTCTGTCACCCCAGCAGATAGTCCAGTTGTCCCTGTCAGCCCAGCTGATAGTCCAGTTGTCCCTGTCACCTCAGTTGATAGTCCAGTTATACCTGTCACCACAGCTGAGAGCCGAGTTGTCCCTGTCACTCCAGCTGGTGATCCAATTATCCCTGTCACACCAGCTGATACTACAGGTAGCCCTGTCGCTTCAGCTGATGGGCCAGTTGTTCCCATCACTCCAACTGATAGTCCAGTTTCTCCTGTCACTTCTGCTGATGGTCCAGTTGTTCCTGTAACTCCGGCTGATGATCCAGTTTTCCCTGTCTCTTCAGATGATAGTCCAGTTGTCCCTGTCCCTTCTGCTGATAATTCAGTTATCCCTGTCACCCCCACTGATAGTCCACTTGTCCCTGTCACTCCAGCTGATAGTCCAGTTATCCCTGTCACTCCAGCTGATAGTGCAGTTATCCCTGTCACTCCAGCTGATGATCTAGCTGTCCCTGTTACTCCAACAGATTGTCCTATTGTCCCTGTCACTTCAGCTGACTGTCCAGTTTTCCCTGTCACCCCAGTTGACAGTCCAGTTGTCCCTGTCACTTCAGCTGATAGTCCAGTTATCCCCGTCACCACAGCTGATAGTCCACTTGTCCCTGTCAGTCCAGCTGATAGTCCAGTTATCCCTGTCACTCCAGTTGATGATCTAGCTGTCCCTGTGACTCCAATAGATTGTCCAGTTGTCCCTGTCACTTCAGCTGCCTGTCCAGTTGATCCTGTCACACCAGCTGACTGTCCAGTTGTCCCTGTCACTCCAGTTGATGATCCAATTGTCTCTATCACCCCAGTTGATAGTCCAATTGTCTCTGTCACCCCAGCAGATAGTCCAGTTGTCCCTGTCACCCCAGCTGATAGTCCAGTTATCCCTGTTGCTTCAGCTGATAGTCTAGTTGTCCCTGTTACTCCAGCTGATACTGTAGTTGTTCCTGTCACTCCAGCTGATAATCCAGTTTTCCCTGTCACCCCAGTTGATGATCCAGTTATCTCTGTCACCCTAGCTAATGATCCAGTTGTCCCTGTCACCCCAGCTGATAGTCCAGTTATCCCTGTCACCCCAGCTGATAGTCTGGTTGTCCCTGTCACCTCAGCTGATGGTCTGGTTGTCCCTGTTGCTTCAGCTGATAGTCCAGTTGTCCCTGTCACTCCAACTGGGGATCCAATTGTCCCTGTCACTGTAGTTGTCCCCGTTACCCCAGCTGATAGTCCAGTTATCCCTGTCACCCCAGCTGATAGTCCACTTGTCCCTGTCACTCCAGTTGATAGTCCAGTTATCCCTGTCACTCCAATTGATGATCTAATTGTCCCTGTCACTCCAACAGATTGTCCAGTTGTCCCTGTCACTCTAGCTGATAGTCTGGTTGTCCCTGTCACCTCAGCTGATGGTCCAGTTGTTCCTGTCACTTCAGCTGATAGTACAGTTGTCCCTGTCACTCCAGTTGACGATCTAGTTGTCCCTGTCACTCCAACAGATTGTTCAGTTGTCTCCGTCGCTTCAGCTGATAGTTCAGTTGTCCCTGTCAC